ACCAGAATTAGTTAACCTAAGCAGCCTGTTTACTTGTAAGTCTTCTGCTTTGTAAGAGAACCCAAAAGGCAGGTCAAATATGATGTGATAACTTTGACTCCTTAAGTCAGCACTGTGACTTTGAGAGGCCAAGGGCAGTACAGACTGTGAGAGGGCGAAGTTGTACAGTGGACGGCCTGTGCCCCTGTGCCATGGCCCCTTCTGCTGGTCCCTGAGGACCTTTGGCAGTCTGCTCCACCCTCCCTAATCCCTCTGAAGCAGCACTGCTTACCAGCTGTGTGGTGCTGGGACTTGATCTGCCTTCTCAATGGCTCTTGTCCTTTGATATGTGTAGAATAATATAGTTTTGGCCTCAACAGGATTTGGGAAGTAACTTATTTGTGAGGCCTCCTCACCCACCATCACCCAGAGGTGATTTGCTTTTGTTAAGACTGTGAATTCTGAACAACGTCAGAGCCAGAGGGCATGGAGAACACCAGGAGAACACTGCCCTTTGGAACAACTAAGGGAGGCTCACAGGAGCTCACAGAGACTGAAGCAGCAGGCAGCAGGGTCTCTGTGCATTTACTATAGCTTTCAGCTTAGTGTTTTTATGGAGCTCCTGAGAGTCTAAATGAATGGGTCTTTGTTCTTGTATCTGCTTTTGGGGATCTTTTCCTTTTGGGTTGCTTTGTTTTATCTTATTATATTGTAGTGTTATTTTGGTTATCTCCTAGAAACCCGTTCTTTCCTTCCTTTCTTCCTTCCTTCTTTTTGGTTTTTGTTATTTTGAGACAGGGTTTCTCTGTGTAGCCCTGGCTGTCCTGGAACTCACTCTGTAGACCAGGCTGGCCTCGAACTCAGAGAGCTCCACTTGCCTCTGCCTCCCAACTGCTGGGACTAACAGTGTGCACCACCACCGCCCCTCTCCAGGGCTCCCGTGGCCTATGCTTTTCTAATGAGAGACAAAAAGGAAATGTATCTGGAGAGGAGGGGAGGTGGGGAGGAACTGAGAGGAGTGGAAAGAAGAGAAATTGTAACCAGGATATATGTATGAGAAAAAAGCCTATTTTCGACACAAGGGAGGAAATTGGAAAGAAAGAAACAAAGAAAAACACTGTAAACGCTGAAACATTTTATTCATTTAATGTCCCTCCCACCTTTGATGCTTCCCAGTGATTAAAAAGAGTACAATGGAGAGGGAAAAATAAAGACAGGCTATTGTATCTAATAAAATTATTTAGTTAACTAAACCATTCCTTAAGAGATTTGATAAGATCAACATGGTGGCACACGTCTGTGACACAGGGGGGTTGCAACTTCAGGCCAGCCTGGGCTACATAGTTCCAGACCAGCCTGAGCTACATAGCAATAATGGTCTTAAAAACAAAATGACACTAAAGCAGATGAAAAGATCTGCAGGGATTCCACAAAGGGACCAGGTGCCCCTGTGGCAACTCTGGGCAATCCAACATTACTGAAGACTGTGAGCAACTTAATACTTAGGAGCTAAGCTCACCCAGAAACTACCCTCTGGCCAAGGCGACAAAGCCCTGGCTTTCATTTGGAGACTTTCCATTCAGCTACTTACCAGCTTTTTAAAAATTATTATTATTATTATTATTATTATTATTCAAGACAGGGTTTCTCATCAGTAGCTATGGAGCCTGTCCTAGAACTCAAGTTTGTAGACCAGGCTGGCCTTGAACTCCCAGAGATCCACCTGCCTCGGGCCTCCTGAGTGCTGGGATTAAAGGCGTGCACCACTACCTCCCAGTCACTTATCAGGATTTTAAGTTTGAGCAAGCTATCTGACTTCTTAGCATCAGTGTATCAATTTTTAAAATGGACATGATAATATCACCCTAATAAAGTAATGATGAGAGCTAAACACTGCCATTGACACATAATAAGGGCTCAATAAATATCCCCTTCCCCAACATAAGCTTCTCTTTCCCAAGAGTACAAATGACTCACTTGGCAAAGACGGGATAGTAAACACACCAAAACATAATGCAGGACCAAACTGATCCCCAGTGTACCGATTATCTGCTTCAATCCTACACACCCTTGCTCTCCAGAGCTCTGGTCCTGAGCAAGCTACACCTTACAAATGAGGGTTGCTTCATCTCTGCCGTTCCCGCCACAGAGAAGCTCGTAGACACAAGGTGCAGGACTAGGGTTGCAGCCCACAGTGCATGCCTGAAGCACCATTTCAGTCTGCAACACTAGAGGAGGAGGGGTTTTTATATGAGATTTTAGAAAGACCTCACGTCATAGACGTGATCGTACATCTATACTTACTGCTGAACCAGTCACAATAGCCAGGAATTGGAAACAGCCTCAGTCTCCATCAACCACAGACAAATAAAGAAAATGTAGTACAACGGGATTTTATTCATCGGCAAAGAGAAACAAAACCGTATTTTAAGGGGAAATGGAATGAGATGAAATTAAGTTAAGTGCAATAAGCCAGATTCAGAAAGACAAATTTCATGTTTTTCTTTTGCATATGAAACTTGAGGGGTGTGTGTGTGTTTCCAGTGTGGCTCTATAGGTCATGAAACTAGAGAAATGATCCGAAGAGGGAAGGAAGAGATTTCTTTGTTTGTGTTTGTCTTCAAGACAGGATTTCGCTGTTTAGATTTGGCTGTCCTAGAACTTGCTCTTGTAGGCCAGCATGGCCTCAAACTCACAGAGGTCCGCCCTGCCTCTCTCTCCCTAATGGTGAGATTGAAGAGGTGCACCATCATCACCCGACAAAGAGGTAGCTCTTAAGAGAGGGGAGGGAGGAGAAGAGGAAAATGGAATGCATACATAAGAAAGCAGGAGGTCGTGACACCTCTGGGAACCGGGAAACTGGCCAGAGCAGGGTTAGTGGTGCAGAGCAGGTAGTGAGGGAGATGATAATGTGCGTGAGAGTGCCAAACTGAACCAGTTGCTTTGTATGCTAACCCACAGAGAAACTGAGGCGCACGCTAGAGGAGCAGGTGCCCAGCAGGACCAGTGTGTTGACTGAATGGAGACTAACGGAATATTAGCACCCCCTGAGACGTTGCCTCCTTGATTGTCCTTGCTGTACACTGTTCAGTATCAATTTGGCAGTTAGAACGAAGGGATTTTGACAGTTGTACATTATCCATGTATGAAATTATATACTGGAACATTCTAGAAATAAACTCACTATGAACCACTAACTCTTTGCCAGGAGAGGAGGGAAGGGTTGGAGATGGGGGGAAAACGTGAGGTCTGAGTAGAAACAGCGTGGGCCTGAATCCTAGCTCTGCCACCAGAGTATATTTGACTTTGGACACATTTTACATTCACTGAGATCTGGTTTCCCCACCACTAAGTTGCTGAAATAGCATCTTCATCCTGGGGTTGTTGTGAGGATTAAATTGCTAACAGGAGTAAAAGTTCTGACAACAATGCTTGGCTTGTAGTAAGAACTGAGGGAGCATCAATGAGTTTCTTTTAAGTTGTCGTAAGAACTCAGGGAGTGTCAATGAGTTTCTTTTCATTTAAGTTGTAGTAAGAACTCAGGGAGCATCAATGAGTTTCTTTTTGTTTAAACTGTAGTAAGAGATCTGGGAGCATCAATGACTTCCTTCTTATTTAAGTTGTAAAGTCAATTCAAGTGCTTTTGCTCCCAGCTCTCTGCATTTCTAACTCTGTTTTTCTCCCTTGCCTGTTACTCCTACATTTCAGCAAACTGTTAAGTATTTTCCGGAAGTCCTGAGACCTGGATCAACTGGGTTTTCTAGTCCCACACATCGAGGTGCTTTTTATTTCGAGGTCACAGTCTGAAGTTGGAGAATGGGTAGTTGTGCTTGCTGAGACCCAAGAACTGAAATTGGAGTAGTGGTGGAGGTTGGAGTGAACTTTGTGTTCCATTTCACAAGGCAGAGAAGCCATTTCATAAGAAAATGGGAAAGTTTAGTTTCTGTAAAAACTTCTTACGTTCCTAGGAAAACGTTGGGTTCACCCCTCCCAATTCCTACCCCTGACCCTGGCTTCCAGTTACCTCAATATTGAGTATTTTCTTTTCTCTATAATTTACTCGATCTTTTTAAGATGTGAAATTGCAGTGCAAGGCAGATACTTGAAAAGTGTTTACAATATTGGAATGACTAAATTTTCTTGGGCAAAGAAAGTCAGTTGGAGAAAGAGAAGATGGAGTAAATGTGTTTGATAGTTGTATTAGCTTCTAAATGTTGGCAGGTGCCATGCATCATCTAGCTCATATATGCTTTTACTGTTCTGAAAGAATATTTTACAATTTTAAGACCAGAAGGAAAGCTAAGGAGGAAGCTACTGTCTTTTCTTTGTCCCCACCTCTCACTGAGTTTTCAACAGGAAATCTTAGAGAAAGTTTTTTTGTTCATTTTGAAAGTCTGCCCATGCCAGCAAATAGCAACTCTGTACAACATAGTTGCCAAGGCAATGTCAAGATGGTGTAGCGAGAGAGAGAAAATGTGGTGTGTGCAGACAGAGAGATGGGGAGACAGATTAACAGTGAGAGCGCCAGGGTTTTCTGCAGTTGGAAAGTTTAATTGTCTTGTCCAAGTGGTTATGCTTGCAGCTGCACCATCTGTCTTGGTGGAGCTGTCTCGTGAAGACTTTTCTTCCCATATCACCTTGCTTGGGACTGTTTGATTTGTCCCCCAATTATACCCTACTCTTCATCCCTACACCAAGCCGTGTCAAAAATGGGTTCCATGACAAAACGGGTTCCACCGCATTTGAGCTAGACGAAGACATTTTTCATTTGCTCAGTTCAGAAATGCTTTTTCTGCGAAAGCTACTTCAAGGCCTGGACTCAGCAAACCCTTCCCCATAATGATTGCGAAGACAGATACATCCCTTTGCTCTCAAAACTGTGTAAATATTTGCTACTTAAATAAAACAACTCTTGCCAGACGGGAGTAACTACCAGCTAGATATTTGCTTAGCGACTGTTGCCTTAGTTTTAAAAGACTCAGTTTTCCTTTCTCTCTTTCTTTCTCTTTCTCTCTCTCCAGGTACAATCCTTGGATTTGCCCTCCGGCCGTATAAAATGAGCTACAGGGAAGTCAAATACTTCTCCTTTCCTGGGGAGCTTCTGATGCGGATGTTACAGATGTTGGTCTTACCTCTCATCATCTCCAGCCTTGTCACAGGTACTTGGCAGCTACACTTTTTGCTGTGTGCCGTTTTTTTTGTTTTGTTTTGTTTTGTTTTTTTACCTGTGTTTATTGCAAAAGATCGCTTAGAAAAGCCAACGCCTTAGGTTTCTGCTGGATGCATGCTCTGTTCTAGAGAAAAAAATAAAACAATTCCCTTCAAAATGATGGAAAGGAGGGCTTTAGTAATGCATGAATGATTATGACTCTCGTATTTTTACCAATCACAAAAGGAGATGGATTTAAACAGCCAGGTAATCTGGTCTGCCTCCCTGTGAACGAGGTACCCTGCTAAACACCACACAACCCGCCTTCTCTGACCACAGTGATGTAGTTGACAAAAGCATACAACAGGTCTGTTTTCTCACCCTCTTATCCCACCCAGAGAACATCTGGTTGGACAGCCTATTAGCTATTGATGCAAGAATGCTTGTTCTCAGAGCCACCAGGACATGAGCGGGAGCCTTCTTGGAAGCCTCATCAAGAGGTAATGCCCACAACACACTCACCAACTTTGCTGCCACCAACACTTATCTTTTCCTGGTGTGCCTGCATGATTTCATTTCCTTCTTCCGTTTCCCCACCCACCCCCATTGCCTTTTATGCTGGTGGGAGAATGGGGAGGGGGTGGGAGATGTCCCCATTGGCTACGCTGTCCATGTAATTGCATGTACAGGAGCTCAGAGCGGAGGATAACCTGGCCACAAACCAGTCCTGTCACCCTTTAGGGCACCTGTTTATGAAACTGGACTGGTCAGTTGTTGACTAAGGGTAATTGTAGATATAAAAGCTATGATTCTTATCACAGAAGCCGTATTAAATATTGGCCTGGGGTACATTTTCATTTTGTTAGTCATTTTTCTCAAAAAAAAAAAAAGATCTTTGTAGAAATCACTTATAGGTCAGAGCCCATCTCCAACATTTTATTGAGTGTGGCAGTGAATCCCCCGCGTCATCCCTAGCAGCTAACTTCTAGGCTGAGAACCTGTTAGTTCCCTGGACACACGCTGATGTCTCCTGGATTCCTCTTACTGTCTCTTCTAGAGTGGAACCCATGTTTCTGCTTTCTCGCAATTAATTATGCAATTTTTATTTTGAGACACAGAAAACCCTTATACAACACAGTTAGAAAAAGCATTGCTTCCTCTTAGAAACAGTCCTCTCCCCTGAAGTGGAATTCCCTGGTGTTTGAAATACTAAATAATCAAGTTTATTACAGGAACAAGAGCTTTCGTTGAGTAAGTTTTCAGGAAAAAATAAGATTTACTCTGATCTAATCCCTTTTGGTGCTTGGAAAGAAAAGTTTGGTTAAACATTAGATAAATTAGCAACCCTTGTAATACGCTGTTAAAAAAAAACAGAACAGCAAATTGCAAACAACCAATATAAAATAAACTCATAATCTAGGTGCAAGTTGAGAATGCTGTCACATAAAGTCATTAAGAGTCTTATCTCTTATCCAGGGTTAGGCCAAGGAAAGGGGTCTGCGGCAGAGTTTAGTCAAAGATGTTTTTGTGGAGTTTAGCCAAAGATGATTTTACAGTGTTCTCTCCCAGGAGTGATCCCAAGCTACACAGTAATCTTGATACTTGTGATCAATTAAAATGAATGATTGATTCAATGAGACTTTCCTTTGTGGTTTTAAATACAAAACATTCTAAAAGCAGGGATCTAGAGGAGGAAATGTTTGCAAAGTACCAGGACTCCCTAGAGGATCCCCTGGGCTTTATTGGACGATGTTACTGGCGAAAAACGTTGCCCTGGGAGGTAACAAAGCCAGGCTCCATTATTCAAGAACGAAAAAGCAATCTCGAAAGCTCACAGCCGTCAAGTGGGTGACGTGTACATATGAAGATGCCCTTTCAGGCTGCTTCTTGTTTTCCTGCTTTGATAGTCATGGATACAGGGAAATATTTTCTCCAGCAGGAGAAAGAGCAGGGCTGAGGGAGGTGATTAAGTGTGGAGTGACCGCCCTGCAGAATAACATGGACAAAAGTAGGGCAAGGAGGTTGTTGAGACCCGAGAAATATAAGATCAATCGGCTCCAACCCGCTGCAACTATATGTCCACAAGAGCAAAATGTGACTTTCTCTTTTTCCAGGAGAATTTAGTTGCACAAGGTTTTAAGAGATCCTTCTAAGTTCTAGGGCTTGACACAGCTCACAAAACAGGACAGTACGGCCAAGCAAAGCATATCAGCTGGGTCAGTCAACCTTACTGATATCAAAACCCGCGTTTGCGTGTCGGTGCTACCGCGTGAGAAACATCCCACTATTTCCGGACCTCTATCGGGCTTTTACTGGCTTCCGAGTTACCTGACTCACCCGTGGGCAATCCTAAACTAAACAAAGCTTACCTCGTGTGGAATGAGCTGCGAAACACCACGCTCATTGCTGTGAGGAAACTGATCCGGAATGCTCTCCTCTCTGTCTTCTGAGTAGGGACGTATTGCGTCATAGCTGGTCTGCTTTGTGTCAGACGGGAACATCCTAGAAAGAAATCAGAGCTCGCACTGCCTTACAGGAAGTCTTCCTGTGAGAAAATACTTCGCTGCTTTTATGCTCTCTCAATCCAAAGCCTTGGGTCTGTGCTTGGGTCAGGAAAGGAACCTGACTAGATAAAATGATTATTGCAATAAGTTTCGGAAGGTTCTAGAGAATACACTCTAACAGTTAAAGCCACTATAGTCACATTTTATTTCTTAAAATTTTATTGTTTGTTTGTTTGTTTGTTTGTTTACGTGGTGCCAGGAAACAAAACTTGTGCCATGTCCATGCTAGGCAAGCCGTCTCCCACTCTGTTTACCACTAAGCTGCATTCCCAGACCAACTTAAAGAGCTTGCCAGCAGATTTTTGTAGTTGAAACACTACTGCTTGCGGGCTGAGGCATTAAAGCTCCGTAAGCCACAATCGTCCTGGAGTTGAAGTCCAGTCTTCCCAAACGTCCCTGGTGTGAATTCGCATTCCAGAAGCTCCAGGGAGAAGCTGGGAGGGAGCCCAATGGCTACGTGGTACTCAAGTACCTTTTTCTTCTTTTCTTTTTTTTTCTTGAACGAGAAGAATATGCCTGTGCCAACACATCACACAATAAAACAAGGATCTGGCGCCAGTTTCTATTGATTTGGTCAGGACAAGCAGCCAAACTCGCTCTTTCATGCCAGAAATATGAGTTGGTTTGGCTGGCTCAGCCTGATTTCACGCACAGGATAATAATTAAACGCCATGTCCAGTTATGCCGAGTGGACGTAGCTAGCCTTACTTCTGCATCTTTTTCAAAAACTGGGGCTCTCTCGTGTTTTCATTCTCGGTGTGCACTTCTCTGCACTCACTCACCACACGGGAAAACTTTACTGTCGACCCCAGGTTTCTGGAAGGGAAAAGCGTTTGGCAGACGATCTCTTTGGAGTGGAGCATGTTGTAAGAGAAAGAGGATTGAAGCCTATGTTGGGGCATACCGAACCTTAGGTCACAAAGCAGACAAAGGTCAACCATTCATTCATTCCCTTGCAGTTGTGTTCTGTGTCAGATGTTAGGTTAGGCATTGCAGGTACCGAGATACAAAGTCCCGAAGTAGATGTGCATCGGGTAGGAAGAGAGAGGCTCTCCAAATTCCTCAACAGTCACAATATTTGTGAGTAAATTCCTGTTCCAATTTTATGACTTCTCTATATGCCCAAAAAGAAAGAGGCAGTTTGGTTGATTATTTTTAAAATTTTTTGGTAATTTCAAATATATATATACAACATAATTAGATCATATCCACCCTCACCTTCCTCTTGGCTCACTTTTTAGAACTTGATTCCAAACCTGACTTTCTACTGTTGTGGCATCTCCTACCTGACATCAGCTACCCTGGAGTTTACCAGCATAGACATCATCCACATTCCCCCATAAACATTTCTTCAAGTTAACAGTTTTTACGCAGCTTCAAATCACTACTAATCATGGAAGCCTCCCATCCTTTGTCTTGTGAGGATGTAATGAATTATGGTGTTACGACATTCTGAACAGACACCACAACCTGATTTAAACTCCAGGGACCAAGTGCAATGGATTAAATAAAAATGCTAAGGATTGGCAGAAACGCTGCAGGTCCCCAAGCAGCGGCAGTGGGCAGTGGGTCCGAGAGCAGTCAGTCCTAGGTAGGGACTGGCGCAGTTCCCAGAGTGGCGGCAGCAGGCCACGAGGAGAGACAGACAGATGGGCATGCCATGCAGAGTGAAGTTGGATATTTATTTAGTGGGTTATGGAAGGGAAGGGGGAGAAGGAGAAGAGCAGAGAGAGGGGCACAGAGAGAGGAGGGAGAGAGAGAGAAAAAAGAGGGAGAGAGAGAGAGAGAAACAGAAGGGGGAAGGAGAGAAGTGGAGAGAGGCAGAAGCTGCCTCTTGAGACAGAAAAAGGAAGGAACTCAGGCTGGAAGCTGAAGATCAGCTTGCCTCAGTGGAGGGGAAGGGGGAGTGGGCATGGCTTGTCTCTTAAAGAGACAGGACAGACCATTACACCAAGACCCTCACTATCATATCTTAAGAAGAAAAAGAGAATGTCAGGCTGTGGTGGTGCACACCTTTAATCCCAGCACTTGGGAGACAGAGGGAGGCAGATCTCTGTGAGTTCAAGGGCAGCCTGGTCTACAAGAGCAGGACAGCCAGAGATACACAGAGAAATCCTGTCTCAGGAAAAAAAAAACAAAAACAGAAAAATAAAGGAAAAGAGAAACAATTAGCCAACATCTACAAGATATTAAGTATACTTTATCTCTGAGGGTTTTTTCTTTCCTCTAACCCAAAGAACAGAAAGGTAATAAAAAAAAAAAGCACAGGTTTCTCATTTTCTGAGTGATTTCATATAAATGAAGCAATTGCTTCTCTCCCTCCAGAACTCTATATTTACCCCTGGTTGGGAAATACTGATCTTGTTCACCAGTGCCTACAGTTTCCTTTCCAAGTGACTGTCCAGCTTCTGCCCAGATATTTCCAGGAACAGAAGATCCTTGGAAC